GACTTTGCCCCCACCAGAGAGAATTGCCACCCGTGCCTGTAACCATTGTCATAGATCATACCGCTTTGGGGATGATGGGCATCAGCAGGTTTAGACGAAGGATCTTCATGCGAGCTCTGTGTGATTTGAGGATGCCCGTCTTCTTTTCCAGGTTCCCCTCAGCGTGCTAAACTCACACAACAAGCATGTCACCATGCCCTGCGGTCGTGCATTTGCTTGATAATGTAATCGGTGGAGAGCTTAACAGGCTCCTATTTCTGAATTTCTTCAGCTCCGCACTTAGAGCAAGCTGCGCACCGTCCTGCGGCCCCACCTCAGATTCCTGTCCGCAGGCAAGCTCTGCACTCTTCCAGGCTGATCACAGGTCGTTAAGGGTCTTTGCGACGGTTACCCCTATCACTTGCGGCTCTGTCCTCAACCATGCCGTGTCCCGCCAGCGCGGTGTGATCAACTGGAGGCCAACTGCTCCTGCAACGGCTAGGTTTGGTGCGGTGAGTACCGGTTCAAGCTATCAACGCACCTTGTCGGCACTGGCCAGGCCTACGTCCAACAATCTGCATCATTCAGGAGAGCCTCGCATCGATTCAGCAACGAAACTGGAACGCACAACAGGGCAGAGTCTGCATGCTCGAGCTGCAAAGCCAGCATTGTGACCGCATGCCGAGTACAAACAGACTTCTTCGATTCATACCGTTTTTAGAGGGAGGTTTGGCCCGACCGTGACAATGGTGCTACGTACCGCATTTCAAATTTCACATAAGATCCCGATGGCTACGAACAAAGAGGTGGTAGCACGAAGACATCTTTTGTGTTCCAAGTTTTCGAAGCCTCAAAGAATCGTAGATGCAATGATCACTGGCCAGTGCAAGTTTAAAGGCATCCGCTGTTGGGCTTTGCAGGTAGAGGTCGGCTCAGAATGATCAAAGTGTGTCTTGCAGCCCGGAAACACAAAGTCTGAAAGGCAGCGGATTGAGGCATGTGTATGAGTGGATACAGTGAACACAAAAGCCCTCACTCCCAAAATCATCATGCAGCCATGTTCGACTCGGTCGACTCGAAGGACATGCTTGGGCTGTGCTGGCAATGAGTTCTACTACGCGTAGGGCTCAGGATTTAAGGTTTCTGGTTTAGGGTCTTCGGATTTGAAGCTCATCGAGAGGCTTTAACGGCCTGAAGTGTGGGTTCAAGACTTGGATGCCGCTCTCACCTCCTAGCATTAACTCATATTAACTCTCAAACATGTTCTGAAGACTCGGGCGAATTTGCGAACGCGAGACGAGCGACTCACAGGCCCTTCATGTTTCTGACAGCATCAGGAGCCCGTTGCCGGGCCATGTCCCACGCCTGAGGACACACCGTGATCCCACATGAAATGCCTCCGAGGGCAGGACAGTAGGGCATAAATCCCAAAGGTGCTAAAGAACTGCCAAAGTTGAGGAGTTTTTAGGGCCCAAAACTCGGGAAGTCCGCAAGCTGGAGCTGCAGGTTGCGTCAAGAGTTAGTATTTTGCGCAATTCAGGGCTTTCTCCAGTCCAGGCGAGGGTTCAAGTCCTTGGCGTTCTGACTGTGTGAGAATCCTACTCTGTTGTTATGTTTTTGTTTCTCTCTCTCTCTCTCGGAAGTACATCTCTTCGGTCAGTGTAGCTCTTTTGCTTAGTAGATCTTTCTGAGCTCTTCTTGGTGGGTGCCTCCGAGCTCGAAACCGAACCATTCCCGCAATTGCAGAGGCCCCTTCCGCGCCATGTTTTCGACTGTCGTTGTGGCCCTCGCAATCGCGGGCCATGCTGAGTCGGCCATGGACCATTTGCAGCTGCTGCAGCAGAAGATGGTCCTAGCTCCGGAGAAGCGATGGAAGCGCTTGCGCGCTGCTGAACCGCTGAATTGGATCCACTTCCCGAAGCTAGGCGGGCCGTTGGGGTGTTTTGTTACACCTGGGGTTGTTCCAAAGGGGTCCTTGCGATGGACCATGGGGAGGCGAGCTGTTGAAGGGGGAAGCCTGACAAACCATTTGGAACAAACGACGTATGGGAATTTTCAGAGGACCTTATGTTGAATTGCTTTCAGCGGGACAGGGCCAACTCAGGAAATGCGGCAGCTCATTGCTCAACGTCATCATCCACATGCCTGGCTTCTGCCCAGTCCTGGACAACGTCACGATGAGCGCCGAGATCCAAGGCCCTTGTTTCCTGAACACTTGGTTGCGCGGCCGACATCCAGTATGCCGTTTCGGCTTTGTTATCCGAAGTAGATTGGCATAAGCTGCAGAACCGTGGATTTAAAAACCGCCAGGTTGCCACAAGCTTGTCAGCAGCAGTGCAACACGGACTACTTCTTCTGTGGTAGGCCGCACCATCCGGTTGGCAATTACTCCGGGCAGGGAGGCCATCTGGTCGGTATGTTCCGAGATCCCGACCAGCGAATCCTCTCGGGCTACCATGACAAGCTGCCTTTCGCAGGCCCCATTAACACTTCAGACTATATAAAAACTATTGTTGAAGGGGACTGTGATCTTGAGGAACTCGCAAGAGCCATGTCTTTGCCGAAGAGGCCCATTCATGAATTTGCTGAGTCGTGGAAAGGTGGTATGACGTATCAGCTGCTGGCACCTGCAGATGAACAGGCGATGGACCCAAACCGAAGAAAGATGACGCGGGAAGATGCAGTGGAGGCAGCCCGAAGAGTGACGGAAGGCTTTGCGTTTGTGGGCATCACAGAAGAGTGGGACTTGTCAATGTGCCTTTTTCACAAGACCTTCGGGGGAGCTTGTCGTGCCTCAGACTTCGCGAACACGAGGCCCACCTTTTCAGGGAAGTCTGCGCACACGGATTATGACACATCCGAGCTCATGGGCTGGCATGACGACATTGATGAAGTAGTCTACACGGCGGCCCTAAAGGTCTTCCACAAGAACCTGATCTTGCTTAATGTGTCTCATGACACCTGTCAGGAGTGCTACAGAAGTGCAGGGAGAGGAGGTCTTGCTTGAGTGCCGCTTCGACCGGGACTGAGAGATCGGTGCTACTCCTGATACGTGACGGCGGTTGCATGAATTGCTTGATTCGCCTGCACCCTCACCATGTCGCAGATAGCGTACACTCGCAGACGCGCAGACAGCGTTAGTACAAAGAAAGTTGCTCGAAGTATGCATCTCCTGTCCTGTCACTCTTGCTGTGCTCGGGAACGGCCATCATCTACCAGTTCCATTGCAGGAGGGAGAGGGTCCAAGCAAGGGCTGGACAGCAGAAACTGTAAATCATATACCCTCAACTCCTCAAGACTTAAAGCCTCAACCCAAGCGCTAAGTCTCCCAAACTCTCCCAAATCCTGAACTGCGAAATAGTGGATGACAAGAGGTCCCAGCATCCATGCTGCACTCACAACCCTTCCTGGAGTAGCTCTGACCGTCATTCTATTTTGCACCATCAGCTACCCGACCGTGAGTTGCAAGGCACGATCCACATCGCACACCCACGTGACCTTCGCAGTCTTGGCGGCTCTGACCATCATTCCTCTGAGCCTGCCCTCCATGATTAGCGTACCGTTCCTCCATGTCGTTTGCTTGGCTTGCCTTAGTCTTGCAGAGCGCGCACCAGCAAGGCTCAGTCTCTTGCAGCACACACTGAAGCTGGAGGACACCAGGGTCGGCTCGAGCGGCGACGAAATTTATTCCTTGTTTGTGAAGTTCCACAAGGTGGCCGGCAGCACATGGCGAGCCTACATTGACGGCATCTCTCAGGAAGAGAATTCTTGCAGCAAGGATTGTGGGAACCCTGCCTGGGACTGCCAGCAGCGCTACCCCCATGATGCGGCCAGATTCGAGTGGTGCAGCCAGCATCCTGGAAAGAATGACTCTTGTTCTGGGATTGCACACAGCTGCACCTTCCACACGAGCATGGCTGTGATTCGCCAGGCCGTTTCGGGTCAGGACCTACCCACCTTGACATCAGACCTGGCCGATGCGCGGAACCTGTGGCCGAGCTCGGAACGCTTAAAGCTGCTTTGGAGAGTGGAGTGGGCCCGTTCTTGGTTGCCCTCAGACTTGCATCAAAAGCGCCTAATCGTGACGACGATCCTCAGAGAGCCCACCGAGAGACTTCGTTCTTATTATTACTTTGGCGGGAACGGCTTCCTGCCAAACTTAACTGTCGCCCATGCTGATGTCGAGAACCATGAGGCCTCACATCAAGGTTTCAAATCCTGGTTGCAGTTCCGCAGGGACTTCGTCACCGGCAACTGGTCCTTTGAGCAATTTCAGCAACAGGCTTCAGAGAAGGATGCTGGATCCACGTCCATGTTCATGCTCTTGCGCTCCTGCTGTGAGTACGAGACTTGGCTGGGGGATGGCTCGGTCGAGAGGGCGAAGCTCGCTCTTGCTACGCAGTTCGACCTGGTTGGTATCACCGAAAGGCTTGATGAAGGCTTGGTGAGCCTTGGCAAGGTCTACGGCCTGACGCCTGAGCAGCTAGCTGCCACTTTCCAATCTATCCCACAAATCTTCGATAACAGCGACAATAAGCTCGACTGGACCGGAGAGGAGAAGGCCTTGGCCAGGATCGTAGCAGAGAAGAGCACTGCCGTTTACAACTTTGCACAAGAGGTTTTCCAGCGCCGGAGCCTCACACTTTTTGGCAGCGAGGCGAACTTGCTGGCTGCCGTAGAGACCTTCAAGAAGCTCAGGCCGTAGCAGAGCCTTTGGAGAGGAGACGCACAACGGACAGGAAAAGGCAGCCAGCGCAAAGGTTTCCAGGTTCTTTGGTTTGCCTATGCTAGCGGCCATTCACAATCCCAAATTCCGCAAAAAGATGCAGCCAGAGCCACGCCTTGTCCGTGGCGAACTACCACATTGCCAATCATGAGCAGTGGCGGGTAGTTTGAGAGGCCCACCTTCGAAGAGTCACAATACATATCAATACATGCCATTACATGCCTAGCAAGATGCAGGATCCGTAACCACAATGCGGCAGATAACGCCCAAACCCTCAAACCTGGTAGACACACACACGACGTCATGCTTGGGCTACAGGACACTTCTTCATGCCGGGGAAATGTGGAAAGTTTCATTCGGACAAATGGCCACAGGAAGATGGAGCGGCCACGTGAGTTCGTCTTCGACTTCGGAGGCTCCTGCTGAGTTTGTGGTGGGCTTGTGGGCTTGTGAGATCGGGAGTTGGGTTCTGGGACCTGCGTTTCCACATTCTGCCTGCGTAGACCTCGGCGAGACCCTGTATGGGTTGCGCCCTGAAGATGTGCGAGTGCAGAAGGAGGATGCAAGGTGATCAGGAAGCTGGAGGCCTCCAAAACTCTGTTTGTCACGTATGTACTACCCAAACGTCTAGGTCCAAGCAGCCTCAGGACTGGAGCATCCGGCAGAGATCAGTGTTTTTTTGCACTCGCCCCGAGGAGGCGCACCGCGCCAAAGCCACGAAGTGACACGAAGTACAGTTTTGGCCTAAGCATGCCTAGGCGCTCAGATGCTCGATCCTTTATCACCAGGTTGCAATTCTACAAGCACCCGCGCAACTCCGAAGCTTCTTTATGCTTAGCTACCCTTGATCGCATTTTTCCGTTTGCGCGCAGGGCTCAGGGTCTGCCTTCCTCCACTCGGGATGTGTTGCCATTCGGGATGCGTTGCCGAACTCCCCAGTGCGAACTCCCGCAATTACACCCTGAAGCTTAAGCTAAAGCCCTTGCGACCTCAGCCCCTGTACCCTTGTACACGCGCACACCCCCAGACTTTGGTTGGACCAGGTCAGCTGCAGGCAGTACTGGACTATGTGTGCTGCCCTCATGTGTGGATCATTTCTGGGTCCGTGTTGGCTACAACAGTACATTTTTGTTAGACTAAAACCCAATAAGGATTGAAAATGATCATGTTTCGTATAGCTTCAATGGGGAACCAGATTTAGGTGGTGATAGATAATGGGGGTCCCCTTGCCGATGCTTTTTCTCCAATGACAAGACACCCCCAGAAATGCGGGAAGCTGATTTAAAGCATGCCCTAAGTATGTTGGAGAAGTGTTCAAAATCTTGAAAAGTTCAGGCTTATGGCGGTTGAGGCTTGGCAGGGGAGGTCTCCGAGGTCTCCCGCCGAGAGAGGTTTGAAAGCAGGCACATGACATGCCAATTTAGGGTTTAAAGCCTAGGGTCGAGGGTCTGCAAGCTTGAGAAAGCATGATGCAGGAGCATGAGAACAAACGTATTCGTGTCGCTTGCCTGCGCAGACACTTTCTTATAGCCGATCTCGAACCGCTTCATCTCGCGATATGGCCGGCGCCTTGAAGACCACCCGAGCTCTCTGCTTTCTTGCATCGCTGCGCGTGTATGCGCACGGTGACGACATTTGGGCTACCGAGCTGCTTCAACGAAAGCTGGTTCTGTCAGGCAGGGTGCCAGTTTTTGTTTTGTTCTTTGTTCTCTCCCTCTGTCTCTCTATCTCTCTCTCTCTCTCTCTTTGTCTCTCTCTCTCTCTATATATATATATATATGTATACACACGTATAATAAAAGAGAATGTTGTTGTTATTTTATATTCTGACCGAAGTCCTGGATCCAATACTGTAGGGCTAGACAAGTAGAATGTCCCCTACAGAAGAGCCCAGTTGCAATGACGTAGCCCTGGCACGCTGAGATTTTGCGGGGCTCAGCTTCCAAACCCTTTGTGGCCAAACCGGACCCTCACATCTTGAGACTGCCGACCATTTGGAGGGGATTTCGGGGCTCGTCGCGAGAGCTGTGCCATGCTAGGGCGGAATAGAACAACCTAGATTATTTCCATTGAGTCTCCGGTTCATCCTTCATAACTATGCCCCCTGGAATCTGTTGAGAGTATTTGAGAGCTTCAGCTCACTATATTGGATGAAGAATGCTAGGTGTCGGTGGGGCGGTCGCGTTCTTCAGAATAGACACCATAGCAAGTGTGCATTGCTACATGGACAAGACGCCCCTCCGTTGCATGCGCAACGTATGGAGCGAAGAAGTTAAAGCGACAAACCAAGTTCAAGTGATTCTTTCATGAACAATCTATGGACAGGCACGGCGACAGAACTTGGTCTGCCGGAAGAACGTTTAAAAGCTGCCGAGCCTCTATGGTGGCCCCCGGCCTGAATTGTGCATATCCATGCCTGATGAGGAACTCATGTTTGACCTTAATCTGCAGGTGTTTATACTTTCATCCCTGACTTGCACGGAGGGTCTGAGACTTTGGCAGTTGAGGTTCCATTGTCCGAAATGTGGCACTTCTTTCATCAACGCCTTGATCAGCTTGCCTGGCGTTTGCCCAGGGTTGCCACTGCACAGCGTCGATAGCACAACTCTGGGCTCCTGTTTCGGGCCAAATTTCTTCACCAGCGTGTGTCCATCGTGGTGTTCAGGCATGGAGTGCGTCTTTCCTCCACACCAGGCCCTCGGCGACTACACGGCCAAGAAAGGTAGATTGGTGGGGCTCTTCCGTGACCCGGATCAACGACTGCTCTCACTGTACCATTCGTGGGGCAATGGGCCTGATTGTTTTGACTGGTCTGAGACTTTCAAGAACATGACAAAGCCACCTTTTCTGGAGTATGCAGACCTAATGAAGGGGGGCATGACGTACCAGCTAACACAAGTGGACCAGCGATCGACGGTAGGAACTCCTCTCGACGTGCACCGGCCCATGACCTCCGATGATGCAAAAGAAGCGTCCCGACGAGTGAGGGAGGGTTTCGCTTTTGTGGGCCTTACGGAGGAGTGGGACATGTCCATCTGCCTTTTCCACAAGATGTTTGGGGGACATTGTCGCGCAGAAGAATTTGAGGACGTTCGGCCAACGAGTTCAGGCAAGGATGCTTCTGTGGACTATGACACATCTGAGCTTATGGGGTTTCATGATGATATTGATGAAATTGTGTATTCTGCAGCACTGGACGTGTTCAAGACAAACGTCGTCTTGTACAACGTGTCACAAGATTCGTGCCGGTCCTGCTTTTCTGTCCGCTCCTAATCTTTCAA